TTATTACATCACGCGCTGGCACAGATGCAGTATATTAACGCCACGGGTCATCAATAAGGTGCAGATTTGGTCAATTTGTTTCCAACACTTTTTCACAGCACGCATCATGTGCTCAAACTCATCAAAAGTCATCAAGCAACAATGACTTATCCAAGTGACTGCTGCAGAACGCACGCGAGAGAGATGAGGCAGCGCAGATCGTGCGTCTCATAAGTGAGTGGGAATTTACCGACCTTGGCACTTGCGGGAGTTAATACTTAACACTGTATGCAATACCCACTAGACTATATACAAGTCATTTAGTAAGCAGAAATCCTAAATTTACCTTTACATATTAAGTTAGAGGAAGATGCGACTGAATTGATTCTTGAAGAATGCACTTCCAGCAGCCATTATAAACAGTTGGCGGTTAAAGTTTTCTATGCAGAATTTGATTTGACAAGTCACAAGACCTATTTTGCTCTATCCAATCACGTTGATGGATAAAAATTAAATTAAAATAAGCATGTAACTGCCACAAACGGAGGAAAATAGCGGAGTGAAAGTACCGATACATCAGTTAAAATGTACTCAAGTAAAAGTACACTTTTTAAACTACTCCAAGTATAATTACTGATAAAAACTAAATTACTGTAACGTGAGTTTGTAATTTGTTACTTCACACCCCTGGTGACCGGATGTGATATTTCAGTGCTGTTTATTGTGGTGTTGCAACTGGAAGAGTGTTTATTTGGTACCTACTTGAACTGCAGGTTCTATAATGTGAGCAGTAATGCTTTGAGGCCAACTTGGGTCCCTTATGCCTCAACGGCGTTTGGCGAGGAAGTCTTGATGTTCTCCCTGAAGCTCATGATGGGTTTGTGCAGTTTCTTTAGGTCTTAAGCCTTGTGAATGAGGCTGTGCCTAAACTTATTATTATTTTTTTTAGTTCTTCTTGGTAAGTGCTGTTTCTCATCACTGAGAATCACCATCCCAATGTTCATAATGTCCATCCTAAATAGTACGCGAGTGAAATAAGTGTTCCAAAGCAGTGTATGCCAAAAGTCCCTGGATGGTCCATTTCAGATTAAGTGTGGGTCCGTGGAAACTCTAATGGCAAATATTGCCCACAATCCCTTGCCCTTTGGTGAAAAATTTGGTTCAGATCTAAAAACATGAATAAAAAAAAAAAAACACAAACATGGTGGATGTGAGGCTAATGGTTAAGTAGAGGATTTTAGATTTAGACATTTAACCTGGCAACAAGTATTTTAGTGTTGTATTTCTTGTGCCACAATGTCAACCAAATTAAAACCGGTTCAAAGATGGTAGGACCATCTTGAAGGGTTATTTATCTTACTGTAAGAACCCCTTAATGCTGGCCAAGAATATAGTTTCTAACCCTAGTCATGTGTTGTATAATGAATTTGTGCTATCAAATTGTCAATACAAGGTCCCAAGATTGAATTGAGTGATTTTAAGATACCTTTGCACACCAGGCTGTCCTAGAACTGAATAAGGTACACGTGGGGGGGAAAAAAAAAAAACCTAGAAGTTTAATTGTATGGTCTGTCTATTGTGAACCGTTTGTAAAGCTTTAGTGTGCAAGAAACCCTGTTACGCAGAAAATTTCAGACTTTGTCTGACAGTTTATCTAACCTTTCCTAAACATCCGTTTGGCTATTAACTTTTAAATGCATCATGCAAAAATTTGGTCGAGTTTTCTGCGTAGACCCATGGTTGGCAGATCAACGTGCTACTTTTCTCTCAATATGGTAGGAAATGCAATGTGGAGGATGTTAACTGAAATGAGATTAACAGTTTAGTGAAAGGGTGCAAGTATGCAACGGAGCAGTCCATTAACGATTCAATTGTATGATTTGAGAGCTTGTCCCAAAGCTTGCCTACTCTTCTACCACACACCCAAAACTGTACCTTTTCAGCAAAAGAGTACGTACTTTAAGGGCATCGTGTAAGTAGCCACATTGGAACGCAGCACGGGTCATGGCACTTGATGCATGCAGCTGCTCTTTCACAACTTTGTCCCTGAGAATTAGGGTAAGGTCTAGTGACTCAATGCTATAGAGATGACATTGAGTTCTTTGTCACTTCTTATCAGGTGCTTTGTGGATTCCAAGACTACGGCTTCCAGCTCCCGCTTCATGCCTCGAACCCAAGAAGACCAGATTCGGTTCCAGCTGGAGGCCTTCATGTTCCAGGGAGGGGATAGTCCTTCTGTACGTACTGTTGAATGAATTTGACTTCTCTTCCCATCTGCTTTGGTTTTGTGACCTCTTACGTGTGTCTTGCAGATCTACATAATGTGTATTGTGAAGGCCACTCTTGCTTCTGCACCCAGTGATGCTCTCCAGCTGGAGGCCTTCATGTTCCAGGGAGGATACAGTCCTTCTGTACGTACTATGTTGACTGCATTTAACCTCTTCCCATCTGCTTTGGATTTGTGACCTCTTACGTGTCTTGCAGATCTACATAACGTGTATTGTGAAGGCCACTCTTGCTTCTGCACCCAGTGACGCTCTCCACAAATCCTGTTCCTTTGCCAACGGGTATGTTCATGCTACTTAAGAACATGTTGAAGGTGCCGTGTCTGATTTTTCTTGTTGCAGGTGGCTTGCTGCTGATGGGAACCACCAGGCTTGTGGTTGCTGTGACTCAACATGTGGTCCTGATGGAGGAAATGCTGCTCCTTTTGGGGGTAGGTAGCTATTTTAAGTTTGCTTTTGACCCTTCAAGTGCTCTACTTAACTTGGATATTTGCTTTTTCTAGGCATTCAGTGGGAAGGCAATGCCTCACTCGGTCCTGTAATGGTTCAAGAGCGACAGAAGACTTTAGCTGGTTTTCAATAAATGGAGAAACCTTTTCTTGTCATCCTGTGTAGTTTAACCAATTTGGATTTGAATGTGCCGAAGTGTGGGGAAACTGGTAGTCCTACTGTACGTATTCTGTATTTGGAAGGAAAAGCTCCCTTTTCTCAGTAGGGAA